ACTTTGAAGTAATGAAATGAAACAATATAGCTGAATGCAGTGTACTGCAGCTGAATGCCTGTGTGCTAGAAATGAGAAGGTCACATCCTTGTTGGCGTAGCATGTTTATAAATGGTGTTTTAAAACTGTGACGATCCTATCTTACTTTTGACTGTCTTATTGTTATGCCAGTTGCTGTGTTTTTTTCATCCTACTTTCTTCAAAAGGAGACAGAATAGATGAGATTTCAGTGGAATGATTGGCATCAAGGCATTGAGATTTGTAGTTGATACTGTCCCAGTTTATTAAAAATAAGATAAGAGAATTTTGACTGGAACTGTAGTACTCTTGAATTTATGTACTGGATGTTGCTCAGATTTGGGTGTTCTTGTTTTCATTTCAAACCTTACTTGGTATATTGTTTGTGTATTTTGGAGAACTTTGCTTTTGATATCTGTGTTATATAAGAAGAATCTGTTGTATATTAGTGTGTTGTCAATGAATGTTGATAAAAGACGTTTCTAATTTTATTACATATTAATCACCTTTTAGTTTTCCCCTTTGGTGGCTCAGAACTTTGAAAGCAAATTTGAAGCATTACCTTGAATCTTGAATGGACCACTTCAAATGCAATCTGGCATTCGTGAAGACTGCCATTGTTGTTTGCTGGTTATACACCATTCTTCTGGCATCAGAAAACAGTCCTGCACAAATCCCCACATTACAGCAAAAGCAGTATCAGAGGCTTAAGACCTCACCCCAGATACCTGGAGACTACCTGTCCTCTGCCTAAGTTCTTTACTTGATGCACCTGGAATGTGAAGCCTGGGCACAGTGTTTTTCTTAATTTGTCCACTGCAGAGGGCCAGGATTTTTTCCTTCCCTGATAATATTATAAAGAATAAATATAAATGGGAAAACAATTCAATGACATAGTTCTAAATGCTTGCTGTCAATTTCTGTATGTGTTTCAATGCAGATGGATTACAGACAATTTTGGGACCAGAATAGTCCATATATGACACTTTGAGTACACTGCCCAGGGGTTAGCACACCCTGGCTCAGAGGCCAACCTTCTGCTTTTGTATGGCCTGCAAACGAAGAATTGCTACTATGTTTTAAAATGGATTTTGAAACTCTGAACACATGAAAATTATATAAAATTCATATTTCAGTGTCCTTAAGTTTTATTGGAACAAATCTGTGCTTATTCATTATTGTCTGTGGCTACCCTTTTTTATTTATTTGTTTATTTTAAGACAGTATCTCACTATGTAGTTCAGACTGCCCTGGAACTCACTGTGTAGCCCAGGCTGGTCTTGAACTCACAGCAATCCCCCTGCCTCAGCCTCCTTCCTGAGTGCTGGGATTACAGGTGTGCGCCACCATGCCTGGCTTTGTGGCTGTTTTTATACTATAATGATAGGTAGTGTCAAGGCATTGTTGAATAGTTGGAAACACAGTAGGATCCATGAGGCCTAAATAGCTTCTATTTGGTCCTTTACAGAAAAAAAGATGGCTTACTTCTACCCTAAAACAAAGCACATAATTAATAATTATTTGTGCAGTTGAGAGTAAAACAGGGTGGGGTGTTTGAAAATGTGTTTTAAATATTTAAATATTGGTAGCTAATAGGTACCATCAAAGTTAAAGTTCAGCTGCTTTGCATACCACCTTATGTTTTTGTTTTTGTTTTTTTGTACCAGGGATCAAACTCGGGTCCTTTGCTTGCAAGGCAGGTGGCAGAACCACTGAGCTAAATCCCTGGCCCACCACCTTATGTTTTCATTTTAATTTTTCCAGCAATCCTGTATCTAACTTTTAGGAAAGTTAGATAAATTTAGACTCATACTAGTCTCATTGCAGGTACTTTTATGTCTTCTAAAACTCTTAATCTACTGCATTTTTTTAAATTTATATTTGGTGAATTTAAAATGGTTAAATATTTTCTACCATAGATTTGATTATCATAAATATTATCATAAATGATTTTACTCTGCAGTGAATATGCTTATGTCTTCAGGTTCAATGAAAGATATGTATGACCTCAAAGTATTTAAGAAACATTTCAAAAGGATTACTCTTTTAAAAGTCACCTAAAACAAAGCTGCAGCTAAACTAATGGCAGATCTGTATTACAAAATAGGAAAGCTATAATAGGTAAAATACTGACCATAACAAGAAGGATTGAGGTTTTGGGTGACTTTGGTGGAGTAGTTGAGTTTTTGGTACTTTTCTTCTACTATTCTTTAAAAGCTGCTGTATGAACTGGGTGCAGTGGTACATCCTATGATCCCAGCATTCTGGAAAGCTGAGACAGGAAGATTTCAAGTTCAAGCCCAGCCTGGACCATTTAGCAAGTCCCTGTCCCATAATAAAGAATTTTTAAAAGAGTGGGAATATAGCTTAGTGGGAAGACCCTGAGTTTAATCCCCAGTATTACAAAAACAAAAAAGCTGCAGTGTGAAAGTTCCCATCATATAGTTGTCAAATTCTAAAAAAAATTTCCTTTTACTCTCACATGCAACTAAAAAATATACTTTTCATGGTAGCTATTACTTCTTTTGTTTTCCTACCATTTTCATGTGATTACTCTGCAACTACATATAGTTATCAGCTTTCATTTGATTCTTCAGTCTGCTTTATGATAATCTTTACAAACTAGATCTTCACATCAGAATTTCCTACTGAAATCAAAAATAAGTGTTCTTGCAAATGCCTTATCTATAGTGATCACGATTTGTATTCTGGTACTTACTATCATTCTTTTTAATCCTTGCATTTACAAACATCTGGAAAATAAATATGTTCATTGTTTATATTCAAGAATAAAATATAAGGACGGGGGGTGCAGCTCTGTGGAAGAATGTGTGCTTATCATGCACAAGGCCTTAGGTTTAATCCCCAAAACCCAGAAAAAAAACTTTAAATAATACATAGTAATCTCCTTTATCTGTGGGGTATAAAGACCCACAGTACTTGCCTAACACCACAGATACTACTAAATCTTTTATAGACTATATACTTTTTTCCTGTATGCACAAATCTATGATAGTTTATAGATTTGGCACAGTAAGAGATTAACAGCAATGACCAATAAATATTAATGATAGTTGTTTTGAGTGTGATTGCTTTGTATCTCGTAGTTCAGAAGTGCCATTGCAAAACCAGCATGGATTTCTTTTTCCCCTCTTCACTATTTCATGGATAGAGGATTTGTTCTTACCGTGGATCCAAGCAACCTTGCATATCATAAGAGTTTTTTCTTTACTTATTGAGAACTTTTACCTTTTCACTTGAAGTACTTGACAGGTTCTCTTTTGGCATATCTAATTGTAAGCATCACTACTTTTATGCTTTGGGCCCATTATTGAACAAAATTACTGTTACTCTAACATAAGCACTGTAATACCTTTATAATTGATCTGATAACTGAGATGATTATTGTGACAGTAGGATATACAGCATAGACACACCAGAAAGAAGGCATGATTCGTGTCCCTTATGAACAAAGCAGGACTGTGTTAAATTTCATCATGCTACTCAGAGTGGCACACAGTTTAAAACTTAAGATTTGTTTATTTTGAAATTTTCGGCTTAATATTTTCTGACTGGTTGGCTGCAGGCATGTAAAATTGCAGAAAGCAGGACTGCAGGTAAGGGAAGACTACTGTAGAAAGATCTCACTGCATCTTCTCAAGCCACAGCTGATTGTAATGTCCCTCATCCAAAACTGCTCAACAGCTAAGATGAAAATGTGAGGCTTACTAAGGGAAGTGGCTCAAAACTTATAATCAAACTGTTTATTTAAATAACATTTTAATACCTAGTTGAGTATACCTTATGTCAAGTTCTTGGGACCAGAAATGTTTTAGTTTTTGTAAAATTTGCATACATGTAATAAGATATGTTTGGATTGTGATCCAAATCCAAACACGAAATTGATTTTTGTTTTATAGATATTCTATACACATAGCCCAAAGGCTGTTTTATATATTTTTAGTGCACCTCTGTTTTGGCTCTGACCCATCACATGGGGTCAGGTATGGAGTTTTCTACTTGTGACATCATGTAGATGCTCAAAGTTTCACATTTTGGACAATTTTGGATTTTGGGGCAAGAATACTTTATTTATTAGTTTATTCATTGGTTGGGTAGCAGTACAGCAACAACCCAACCCCTACAGACACCCCTGATGGGGCTAAGAAATATTGTGGATTAATAAAGTGTTACGTCTGGATATTGCTTTAAAAATGATTTTCTCCTCTGTAGGAGCCTCTAGAAGAATTCTCTGTAGGTATACCCAAGACAGTGTGTGTTACATACTTTCTTTAGTGTCTATTTCTGTTACGGCGAACCTGTCCGTTGTTGCACACGTGCCATAGGTGTGCCACCACTGATCTATTTCATTTTAGTGATTGAGTTTCTGTTTCTACAAATTTTTGATGGAAAATTTGTTATAGAAGAGAGTTCTTTTTTGCAACCTAACTGCAGAGGAGCAGAGTTGCATGCATTCCTGTGTCTGTTAAACTCACAGTGAGTTTCATGTGTAAGTGGTCACCCACTAAAAGGCTTGCACAGTGCTACAACTATTCTGAGGACAGGAAGCGTTTGGAAATTGAGCAGTAAAGCAGCAGCAGCAGCAACCAGCCACAGTGGTAGTAAAGACAGGGCAGGCTTACACTTAGCATATTTCACAGTGTGAGCCAGTGAGCACATAGCTTCCCTTACGGCTGCCTGAGGGAGGCAAACCAAAACTGTATATTGCAAGAATTTTCTAGTTTCGTGTTTATGATGTCAAGTCATGTGATAACACTGTACTATAAGTTGCCAACTTTGCTTTACTCTGGAGTAAAGATCAGTTGCTGCAGTGCCTTTTTTCTTGTTTTCTCTCTCTTTTTCTTGAAAGAGAAAAAATTGTGCAATGTATGTTTATGCCTACACCATGCCGAGGCGACACTTACCAGTAAATAATCTCTGTATCCCGGAGGTAAGATACTGTTTCTGCTTTCCCTGCACAGTGCTGCTGCAGCACGGAGCTGATCCAAACATTCGGAACACTGATGGGAAATCAGCCCTGGACCTGGCAGATCCTTCAGCAAAAGCTGTCCTTACAGGTAAGAAAATAGCTACCAAATTGTTTTTATCTATGGAACTACAAGCCTGATTTTATAAAATCTTTATACACTGAGTTTTTTTTCCTCTGATGAAACTATATATGTCATTAACTACTACTTTATTATTGATTGGGTATCTGTCTTATTAACTGCTGTGCTGTCATAAGCAATAGGATTGCTCATTCTACTTAGAGCATTAAATCAAAGCATGTTATTTACTCATATTTTATGGTTTGTATCATAATGTTCTTAAACCTCTTCCTCTTCATTGTTTCTTTTTAAGACCTTTACTATTGAGCAGGCAAGGGCATTTGTATTACTATAAAAGTAGTTTTGATTGGAAGGGCAACCTGCTGCCTGTTCCTTGGATCGATGGATCAATAGTTAAATAAAATAATAGTGCTGCTTCTCCCCTTCTAGCCGCTTTATATTTTCACAAGATGTTGTCAGTTTTACCGTGATAGCCAGATTATTTTTAACTGGGGCACTGTTATCTTTTTACTTTAGATAATGCAGATTTTGGTATTAAGTATTAGTTTTACTGAAGCAAATGCCAAGAACATCAAAGGAAATGCTAGACTAGAAAAGACCTCCCATAATAATATAGAAAATGTTATAACTGTTATGATTTTGAGCAACTGTTTTCATTGATCCTCATAGTCATAATGCTGCATTGGATCTATTTTTGTTTTTATTCTTAGCATCTGAGTCCTGCTGCCTTTGCCCTCTTTCACTTAACTAACCTGTGTAATTTGGAGCCTCTGTCACTGCAGTGCTAACTGTATTGTTTAATTACCTTTTAAATTTGCCCTGTTTGAAAAAAATGAATCTTTTGTTCCTACTTAAGTTTTAGAGTCTATACTATGCATTTTAAACAAAGATTCTGAGGTGAATGGAAAATGTTTATATACAGAAATATTTGAAAAAAATATAGAATTTTGCTTAATAAAGATAAGTTCCCCCTGTGCTTAAATTAATGTAATCACTGCTAAATTAAGTAATATAATTTTTCTGAATTAATAAAAGTTTAAGTGAATTCAGTTGCTGAATCAAAATAACATATACTTGAAGAGTAAATCAGTATAGATAAGAAATTTAGATTTACAATTTACAATTTAAATAATAGTCTTAGGCCTGCTTAGGTTCCTGCAGGATTTCTTCAGTCTCTTAACAAAACTATAGCAACAATAGCAGCTGACCAAAGGAGGAAGACAGTTGGTAGACTCAGAGGTACAGTGTATTATAAGTGCTGAGCAAGACCGTCTCTTTATTCTGTGTCCTCCCTCTGACCTTTCCTCTTCTCAGAGCTCTCAGTGCCTGCCTGTCCATTTGCTAGATTCAATTAATGCATCACTGCTTTTAGATCCGCTTTTATTTTTTAAAACACAAAGTTTAAATGTAAGTTATTACAAATGAAGACCTATCTCTTAATTTGTAATGAATTTCAGGGAAGATTATGTTGGGAAAGAGCTTTGGCATAATCACTCAGGGATACTGACGATTCCTGGAGGGCAGATACTGTGACTATTAAAATTGATTTGAAAATCATCTAGTACTTTGTTTAGATAGGAAGATATTAAATTCTTTGTGGTCATAATACTGATTTTCCTAATTGTTCTTTTCTAGAATGTCTACTCTTAGAAATGATATATAATTTCTTGGATCTGATTTAAAAGAAAAATAAAGTCTACTAGTAATAATTTTGTTGGAAACATAAATTGTTTCTACTTATATATTCATTTTATATAGTATGTTGAAATAACACTTTGATGAACTATATTCTACAATGTTTTTCTACCCATACAGGTTTTCTACTAACAGTTCTTCCCAGTGGAATTATGTTATTATATCCAAAGCAAAATTATATAGATTAAGCATTAATTAAAAAGGTGGTGTTAAGGGCCAGGGATTTAGCTCAGTGGTACCATCTGTGCCTGCCTTGGAAGCACAAGGTCCTGAGTTTGATCCCTGATACTGAAAAATAAATAAATAAAAAGGGGGGTTAGTCTGGGGTTGTAACTCAAAAGTAGAATACTTGTCTGGTATGTTTGAAGTCCTAGGTTTGATCCTTGACACCACAAAAGCAAATTTAAAAGGGGAGGTGTTACCTTTTTTTTTTAATTTTATTGAGTTTCTTGGTACATTTTAGGGATACAGTACAGTTACATTCATTGTTGGGATAATGTACCTCTACATGGCAAGTCTTGATTCTCATTTTTTTCCCCTTACCTCTGCCCTCCCTTCACCCCCTCCAAGGGGAGGTGTTACCTTTTAAGAGTACTGTCTAAATTCAGAGTTAATAAACATTATTCTAAGTGATTTTGTGGGAAGAGGGGTGCAGTTGTAGTAACATCAAAGTTTTTGTTCTTAAATATTTTTTCTTTGAAAATTTGCTTGCTGAAATCTCTCTAACATACCATCATTTATGGTACTACGTTGGTATATTAGCCAGAACTAGTACAGGTATTCTGTTTTCTTTAAAGAAAATTAACAAAGTGAAAATTTCTTTTTACAGAACACTTTAAAGTATGTGCTTGATTAATGCTTTCTTATACAAAAAGAATGCATGGAATTGCACAGCACTATACAGAGCAACATAAACCTTTAGTTTTACTGTTAAAGGACTGTATCATGCAGCTATTTGCTTTGGATCATGCTATGAGGCATTTAAAGTGAATTCTTAATTGGAGAGACTGCTGAAACTCTCTGTTAAATTATTGTCTAAGTAGATGATATGTTTAGAAATCTTGAGTTTTTTGGGAAAATGTTGCTAATGACTTTGATATTTTAAGTAATCAACTAAAGAACTTGGAAATGTTTGGGGATTTTTTGTTCACATTTTTAAAAGTGAAGAGTCTAAAAGATCCTGTGTAAATTTTATTGAAGTGCTTTGATATATTATGATTATGAATTTTTAACAAGTAGCATATTTTGGCCTTTTTCTCATTATAAACAATGCATTCAGAAATTGGGAAAATAGTAAAAACATGGAAAAGAAAAAATTATAGTTCTGCCACCTAGAGATGACATTTTGGTATACCTCGTAGCCTTTTTTTCAATGAGGACACATACCCTACATTTTTTGTTTTAATTGAATCAGCCTCATATATTACATAGTTTCTGCTAAATCAAATATATACACATACATAGAACTTTCCAGAAGGCATCAATTATCCTGAAATATCAGTTTATAATTTTGTCATAGTGTCATTGTATGGATATATGGTTGTTTTCCAGTGAATCCCTAATGTTGTGACTACTAGGTAGCTTGTTTCAGCTTTATTCTTCTTTGTGATTGAGTCATTTTATCAATTTCACTTGCATTATACTTCTTATTCAGGCTTTGGATACACAAATATGGTAAATATCTATGATTGACTTTAAAGTATACTGTGTAAAGATTCAGAGAAGGACGAACTTCCCTGTTAATGAGGTGCACTGTGTGTGATATTATTATGGGAGAGCTACATTTAAGCTGAAGGTAATTGACAAAAATGTCCCTTGATGTGATCTAAGAAGGATGATTGTTGACCATGTAAAAGGACCTCCTTGGGACAAAGGCTAGACAATAGCACTGAGAAGTTGAGTTGGCCAACGAGGTGAGAGCAGACTGAGACAGTGTTTAGGGAAAAATAGATGGCCAAAGAAATGTTTAGCATTGGCAGGCTCAAGGATGACTAAGATGTAAACTGAGTGAGTTTGGAGGGTAACAAATTTGGCACAATAATAGGTCCTGGTAGTTTCCTAGTAAATTCAGGGAAGGGGAATGGGAAGAAAGATATATTTATATATATTTGTACCAAGGTGTCTCAGAAATTAAAAAAAAAGTTAAACTGTACTCATTGTACTTCTGAGAAAATTCTAATCTATATATGTTTGCTGAGCAGCCTCCTCATCTGCAGAAGAAATCCACTGTGGCTCAGGCTGTCAGGTAGTGTTGAAGAGGTTGATGGGTTCCTGCAAACGCTGCTTTGGTGGGTCAGCAAAATGTGCCTGGAATCCTACCTTGTGGCAGCTCCACTGCTTTTCAGATGAGATTAAGATCTTTGGAATAACTCCTGAGGACTTAAATGGCCTGGCTGTTTTCTACTTAAGTTTGATGTTAAGGTTTTACTTAATTCAAAATTTTATTTTCTTTTTTTCCCCCGTCTTCACACATTGCTTCCAGCCTGTTGATATTGAGGTCTGCTGTACTTTGAAATTACCAGCCCTGATATTTCTCACCACCATGACAACTTTAGTCCTGGTCCACACTTTCATCCTTCCTTCTATGATATATGTCTCTAAACTTCATTCAGTTCTCTTCACTGTAGTTGGAATGGTCTTTGTAATGTACAAATGAGCCCATATTAACAACATTCTTCAACACATTCCCATTGTCCTTAAATTAAACCCAGTTTCTTTTCCCTGGTTTATCATGACCGAGCTGCTGTCTTGCATATCTCTCATCCTACAGTCTCCTTTGATCTCTGTTTTAGCTACAGATAGATGCCTCCTATCTAAATAGATGAAACCCAATCTCACGGAAGTGAACACTTCTAGAATGTGTCTACCTTGGAGAAGACTTGTATCCCTATTCATGTTTGCTAATTTTATTTTCTTGATGAATTTTCAACATCTGAAATTGCATTTTTGTTGTTGCTTGTCTCAATAGAACAAAAGGTTTCCAAAAGGTTGCACTTGTGTTTGTCTTATTCACTTCTTTGCCTCAGGACTTAGAAGAATGTATAAAATGATTAAGTAAATAAATATATCTAAGGTCTGATTACTGGTAATGGGGTTCAACATATTTTCCAGGTCTTACAAACACTAATTAACCACTGATTATTTGACATTTCATGGCATATTATAATAGCTTTAATAAATTACTTCCCAGAACTAGTTTTAGATTGCTAATAGTCACGTATCACCTCTTAAACCATAGTTTTAAAATGCTGTAATTGGTATGGTGGGAGAAGTATGGACTTAGTTTCATTGACAGATTTTTTTGAATGGCTCCC